TCCTGGTTATTGGCCCAAAGTCACCTAGCCAGCTTTCATGCCTAAGACGGGACTAGAACTCACCATCTCCTGGTTATTGGCCCAAAGTCACCTAGCCGGCTTTCATGCCTAAGACGGGACTAGAACTCACCATCTCCTAGTTATTGGCCCAAAATCACCTAGCTGGCTTTCATGCCTAAGACGGGACTAGAACTCACCATCTCCTAGTTATTGGCCCAAAGTCACCTAGCCGGCTTTCATGCCTAAAACGGGACTAGAACTCACCATCTCCTGGTTATTGGCCCAAAGTCATCTAGCCGGCTTTCATGCGTAAGGTGGGACTAGAACTCCCAGTTTCCTGGTTATTGGCCCAAAGTCACCCAGGCGGCCCTAAGTCGGGACTATAACTCAGCGTCTCCTGGTTTCTAAGTACTATGTCTCACAATCTCCTTTTTCCACAGATTCAGAATAACTGGTCCTTTGGGGAAGCGTTTGACGAGCAGGCCAAGACCAATCCTATGTTGCGCCCTTATAAAACATTCTCTGAAAAGGTAGAGTTTCTTCACTCCATTCCTCCCACCGGAAATGGGCCCGAGGATTGCCTGATTTCCCCCAGGTCCAAGCAGGAGTGGAAGGCCAATGTGACATTGGGAGACCTTCCAGAAAAAGAAAAGAAAAGATATTTACCACCTGTCTCTTTTTTTTCCCTCCTCCTACAGGATAAGGAAATTTACCGGTGGCCCATCAAAGAGTCTCTGAAGGCCATGATTGCTTGGGAGTGGATGGTCGAGAAAGCCCGTGAGGGCGACGAGGAGAAAATGGAGAAGAAAAAAACCCGCAAAGTCTCACAGACAGCCCAGGTTGGTTTCTAGAACGTTCCTTGCCGCCCATTTTTCCTGACTATGCCGCCTTCCTATCTTAGCTACTCCCAGTTTCCAGGTATATAATTACTCTAAATCAGTGTTTCTCAAACCTGACCACTTTACAGTGTGTTGGACTTCAACTCCCAGAATTCCCCAGCTAGTATGGCTGGCTGGGGAGTTCTGGGAGTTGAAGTCCACACATCTTAAAAGTTGTCAGGTTTGGTAGCGTTGTCCTGAGCTATTAGCTGTTGTCCTTAACGTTGTCCTTAGGAACAGCGATGGTTCCTTGTGAAACTATAAAAATAAACTTTTAGAAGAAAAGTTGTACCAAACTGTTTTGCTTCAGGCCTTTCTGCATGATGCGCAGCGCACTCTTTAGATGTAAACGCCAAGGTTATCCAGAAAAGCAGCACCACAACCGACAAAACAGCCTCCTCAGAACCTGAGTCGAGATCTCGCTGCGTTGTATAAAAACGACAGTGAACCCCACTACCTTCTAGCACTGATGATGTTCCCTAGTTGGGTCACGAAACGTCTGCAAGAAAACTGCCAAGCTCAGAGAGCACCAAGGACCCCACAGTCCTGCTCCTCCCCCTCCTCCTCCTCCCCCCCCTCCTCCTCCTTCTCCCTCCCTCCTCTTCTGCCACACTTCACTCCCTTCTAGCACTGATGATGTTCCCTAGTTGGGTCACAAAACGTCTGCAAGAAAACTGCCAAGCTCAGAGAGCACCAAGGACCCCACAGTCCTGCTCCTCCCACTCCTCCTCCTCCTCCTCCCCCTCCTCCTCCTTCTCCCTCCCTCCTCCTCTCCACACACCCCATTCCCTTCTAGCACTGATGATGTTCCCTAGTTGGGTCACAAAACGTCTGCAAGAAAACAGCCAAGCTCAGAGAACCCCAAGGACACGCCTCTCCCCAAATGAAATTAAAATTTAAAAAATGAACAGGTGGTAGAATCAGGAATCTGGAAGGTGGGATCAGGGAGATCTAGCTAGGGAAACAAACCCAGCAAGAGAAGGATGGGGACAATGGATGTGTGAAGCGTGCCTGTTTCTCTGTTTTCCTTCAGGTCTACGATCCCAGCCATGGTTACAATCCTCAGCCACTAGATCTATCTGTGGTGACCCTTTCCAGAGAATTACAGGTGAGGATATCTGTCTAGGATCTACCAACTGCATTCAGGCAAATAATCTGAAGGCCAAACAAATAACCCAGTCGACGGGGTTCCATCCTTTCGGCCCGGTTTCTTTCACCGTGGAAACATTTTCTAGCCTCTCCCCTCAGAAGTTAACTGAGGCTTAGAAGTTCCCTTAAACTTACCTCAGTTGCTATCATCATCATCTACTTTTAATGACCCCATAATCCCTTGTGGGGTGGAGCCTTGGGCCACTGAATGGAGCCGATTGTTTACTGGCCAGATGCCCTTCCTGTCGCCAACGCGGAGTTATATTCAGCAGATGCATTCTCATTCCATAGAGAGAAATATGTGCCTCTCCCAAGGATCGAACTCACAGCCTCCTGATGGTGAGGCGAGACCTCCACCTCTAGGCCATCGCGCCCCTCTCCCGACTAGCCCCTATAATTCTATGTAAATTAGGATTAAGTTGGCCAATCAGAGGGTCCTTCCTATCTACCCTACGAGTCTCTCTCTCCACAGGCCATGGCGGAGCAACTGGCGGAGAATTACCACAACACCTGGGGACGCAAGAAGAAATTAGAGCTGGAAAGCAAAGGTGGGATCCTGAGCCTCGGAGGAGACCGATGTTCTCTTTTCTTGTTGCCCCTGCAGGGGGGAAAAACTCACCTGCTTTCTCTTTGTCTCCCAGGAGGTGGAACTCACCCCTTGCTGGTGCCGTATGACACGCTGACGGCCAAGGAGAAGGCGCGGGACCGGGAAAAAGCTCAGGAGTTGCTTAAATTCCTACAGCTTAACGGCTACGCGGTGACTCGGTAAGTGTAGAAGGAGTTTAAAAGCAGGAGAAGGGTGATCTAGGGTGACTTCTTACCAGTGCACTGATGACGTTCCTTCGTTTGGTAAGGAGACGTCTACGGGAAAACACCCAAGTTCAGAGAGCACCAAGGACTAAACAAGCCCTTTTCTTCCACTCTGCAAACCCCACTCCCTTCTAGCACTGATGATGTTACCTAGTTTGGTAAGGAAATATCTGCCAAAAAAAGCCCCATCAGGCTCAGAGAGCACCAAGGACCCCATTGATGTTCTCCTCTTCCTCCTCCTCCTCCTCCTCCTCCCTTTCTCCTTCTCTTCCACTCTGCAAAACCCACTCCCTTCTAGCACTGATGGTGTTACCTAGTTTGGTAAGGAAACATCTGCTAAAAAAAGGATCAAGAGAGCGCCAAGGACCCCGACAGTCCAACCTTGGGCTACCAAGATGCTCTTCTTCTCAAAGTTGTTTTAAAATCAATAAATTATTCTGCTGCTTTGAATGTAGAAGGATTGATACATCTGTCTGTTAAGGACCTTTTAGTTTAAAGACTCTTTATTTTCTAAGATGACCGTGGGTTTTAATGTACTGGTCAGTTGTTTGTTTTTGTCTGGGTCTGGGCTGCCCTTAGGTTTAATAAATAAAATTAGTCTGAGCTGCCTAATAAATAAAATGACTACTGAGCAAGCAAAACACTGTGTTGGGGGCATTTGAGAATACCTGGGAAAGGGTTTGGGGGTCTCTCCTTGTAGAGGGCATAGAGAAGGGCCTTGGAGGGGCAGAAGGAAGAAAAAGCAACCAACTCAGTGGTTAGATAAGAGGGGCTTTAGCCTCGGTCAAGAAAGTAACCAAGCGAATGTCTCAGATAAGCTCCTTACCAGTTCACACGAAGATAAAATGGGGTGCACATTCTGATTTATAAGATAAATAGATAATAAAAGTAGTTCTAGATCTAAGTAGTATTGGTCCATCCTTCATGGGCAAGTAAAGCAAAACCAAACCAACGACCTTCTGGCTTAACACAATGTGTAAAGGCTGAGCACAACCTTTTTACCAATCCCCTGAATTGAAACGCCATCATTTCTCCCAGGGGTCTGAAGGACATGGAACTGGACACCTCGTCCATTGAGAAACGCTTCGCCTTTGGATTCCTACAGCAGCTGCTGAAATGGATGGATATCTCCCAAGAATTTATTGCCCACCTGGGTAAGAGGCTGTCCTCTTCCTCTCCTGGTTGCTGTCTTTAGCAAATTGCTGGGGACTGATGATTTCCTGGGAGAGGAGGATGGAAAACGGGAAGATAGAAGAAGGCTTGGAATTCAGAATCCTCCCTTCTTATTTATACTGCTGGACAGGGAACAGGGTCTAGTGCAGAAGCATTTGAGATACAGTCTCTGACTTCCTTGGTCCATTCTGATAGTGGAAAGAACAGATTAGCTATTTCTGGGCTGCTTGGATTCCATAGTGAAATACAATTGGACCATTTTAGATCTTCCTTGGGGTTCTTGAGATCACCTCTTCTGTGGTCGGAGGTCACACAGTGCCAATTTTAGTCATCCGAGCAGAACAAGGGGATAAAGTTGTAGAGCACTGCAGAATTGACCTTGGAAAAAGAACGTAAGGGGTCTTAGCGAAACATGAATTCAGCCCGGGAAGACAAGAGCGCGTGAGAAAGAAACT